ATTTAAACATTTTAATAAGCCTCGTTAATCTTCGGTTGCCATTTAGATACCTTAGAAGAAATTCAATTTTCCACTGTCTAAATTATAAAAGTATGGATCCGATGATTCAATTAATCGTATTATTTCTTTCTCGATATTACAATTACTTGATTATATACGCAATATCATGTGTACATATTTTGCTATATTCAATTTAAATTTGTGTTATTATGGAGCTGTGTATAAAATTGAATTAGGTACAACCGATTAATTAATCGAAATATTTGGTCGTCCCATATGTTCATGCCGAGTTTTGTACTACAATTTGAAGCAATGTTTCAAACATATTATGGAATATGATGAAAAACAGTAGTCTTCCTCGTTTGATAACTCTCTCCTTTTCTTTTGGCAAAGATATCATGATTATAACATCGGTACAAAACTTCTTTGATTTTGTATTAAAATGTAGTTCAATGCTGGCCCTTAAAACGCTGACATTTTCAAATTCTTTACTCACTAATAAGCCTGGAGATCGTTGTATACGCATCATTTCTTATTTCCAGTTATTAAGCAGATTAGGGAAGGTTCGGTTTTATTATACGTTAACAAAAATATTTATATTTGTTTGAAATTTCTATGAATTGTGTAAAATATTGGAAATCCCTTGAACTGACAAATTTCGTTTGTTTCCTACTAAATTACGAATTTTATTCTCGTCAATTTGAGAAGGTCGAGCGGCACAAACTTATAGGACGACCCAACATATCGAAAGATTAGGTCCGAGGTTGCTTTTCCGTGCCCAAGCGTATTGATTCTCAGTTTTGCTCCGACAAAGCCATAATTCTGCTCATACGAATGGGTTGACATATCACAAATATCACTGTTGTACTCTTTTCTCGGTAAATCGGATCAATTCTATAGAATTAAGTCCGGCGGAGATGGCAAGACGGCCACATAATAGTTCAATCGCAATTGGAACACAACCATAAATGTATAAAAATTATAAAACACCCTGTACAATCTATTTAAACAAATATCGACCAAAATGGGTAGGTATTCGGTAAAAATTAAACATAGATAAATACTATTTATCTCACACGGATGAGTACACTATCGAGATGCTCAAACTGTAAACATATTTCCTGAATGAAGTAAATGTAACGTCCTACAAAATATACCAAAATACTTGAAAATTTTTCGAGTCACGATCGCTTTCCGAACAAAGCCTAGAGTTTTAAGAGTACTTGGACAATTTCTGTAACTATCGACGATCGTTGACGTGCTCCGGATAATTAAATGAAGAAGAAAACGTTCGCGCGATCGAGAAACGCGAAGTCTCGCGTTGATTTTCGCAGTAAAAACGAGATCGTGGAGGCCGAATTCGTTCGGAAGCTCCGGCTGGTCTACCACCGCGGAAGCTGGCGAAAAACTGTGGCGTTTACGGCGCCGAAACTCCGTAGACTGCCGTGGATTTATGTACGCGGCGGGCATCCGCGCGCGCGCACAACGAGATTTATCGGCGCTTGGCCGAGTTTCGGTAGGGCAAGTTGAGTGAATTGTAAATGTTTCCGGCAGAACTTCACCAAGATGGCGTCCTCTACCAGGGCCGAGTTTGTTTACGCCTCATGGCTTCCCCACGTGGGAAAAGCAGCATGGCGCGCATCAAACTTTCAAACGCACCGAATCATCTTGCCGTTCGACGGCTGTTTTTCTGTTACCCGTCACGAAATTCTCCCCGTCGACCACGTTTTCCCACAGAACGTTTCAAAACGTTTTTCGATCGTCAAAAATCTCGTAACGAACCAATCAATTTTTTTTCTTTTACATTCCCTTTCGTTTCTTTACAATCTCAGCGAATTAATTGAATAATCACGTCTGTTGCGCAAGCAATATTCGTTAATATTCGAACGCGTAACTAATAAATTTGAAATAAAGTCGAAAATTTTCAAGACGCGTGTCCAACAATTTTTCCCAATCCCCATCGTTCGATAACAATTTATGTCGTTTCCGCACAAATACATCCAAAGCTCCCTCCTTGTTCCACGGATACGAGAGGCAGTTTATCGCGATAATTTCAGCGAACAGCATTTCGCAAGATCGTTGAAATTTCCTACAAACTCGATGGAAGTTGCGTTAGTTTAACCAACGCGTAAGAGAGTTTAACACGGCGCGTCGCGGATAACTTGTGTACCCGCTGAAATCCTTTGAACCGCGTCGCGGGAATAAATAATGTTGTTGTCGATCGCGAGCAACTAGACTAGCGTAGACGCGTCCGGGAATCGATGAAATTTATCTCTTAGCGAAGTTGGTGCGCGTTGAAAATGCCGTTTCGTCGGTCGTACGGACGCGTACTCGTAAAATTCGTTAGAATTATTCGGAAAATGAAGCGTGGCCATCGAGCGCCGTGCTATACACGTGGTCCCGGCACGTTATGCAGTCGGCAAAAACAACAACGATGGAAGGTCAACGTCCCGTACCAACGAGGTGCCAAACGCGTAGGATTGTAAACAGTTTGACATCTATTTTTTTTCTTTTTCGTTTCGACTATCGCGTGAAAATATTAAAACGCGACGTTACCGTTAAATCGGTCGGAGGACGATTTTCACCTCGATAACAGCGATAAATGTTGCTTGTTTCGACTCACATTTCATACGTTGCGGAGCGTGCTGTTTCCTTCGGGGCATCTGCGTCCTTCGGGGATGCTCGATTATCTGTGTGGCCTCCAGGTCTTCTCTCCTTAGACGCAGCTTTAGAACGGATCCGAAACATGTGACGGTCGTGTGTCGAAAATTCTCGGTCGAAGATCCTGCGTCAGATCTTCCGCGGGAAACCGTTTCGCAGTTTCCCACCTCCGCGCACAACAGTCACCCACTTGCACGTGTCCGACGAGCACTACCTCATCGCGACCACGGGGGATCGGTATGTCGTCGGTGTTCCAGCCATCGTCGTTATCGTCGTTCTTGTTTCTCTGGTAGGAGAGCTGCACCTACATCGGTGCACGCGCGTCAACTAACCGTGAAAACACTATTACAGGCTATCGTATACAGAATCGGGCAGAAGGTTTCGCGGTTTTCTCGACGATCGAGATTAGATTTTGCCGGTATCGCACTGATCGCACTTTAAACGGTCGCTAGAATTCTCCAGTTTTCGTGATCCACGCACGGGTCGTGTGTACAACTCACTCTCGGACGATATAATCACCAATATATTTATATATATATATTTATATACGTAATGCGTATCACTTTTGTATCTTTCGAGGCACGGTATGCAGGTTTGCGTGAACGCTTCACTGTTTGGAAACGTAGAAACGCAGGCCCGCTCGGACGAACATCGTTTGCATCGGGTATGCTGCACCTACGGATGATTCAAGAGAAAACGTGAGAAACGCGTACCCGCGTGGTATTATTTTTTTCTTATTTAAATGAAATTCGCGCGTCGCGAGGGGGACACCGACACGCTCCAGAGGCAGTTCGTTCCTCCTAGCGCGCGTAAGCTGGGGGGGTTGGATGATCCAAGTCCCGCGGCACGGATCTCGATTCTCGACACTTTTCGAACGAAATGAAGCGCACTTTCGTGGTGGTGGCCGGTGGATCTAGATCACGCGACACTCGATTGTATACCCACGAAGATGGAGGAACGAATCGCTGATCTGGAGGATCCGATCCTCTTCCGAGGACCGAGGATCGAGGATCCCGATAATCGCGCGATAACTTGTCCGTCTGGGACGCGTGCCTCTCAACGACGCCTTGCATCCACTCGAGACGCGCGCACGACACTCCGCCGTACGTACTTACGTGCGTACGTACGGAGCTACCGAAAGCTCGCTCGAGAGAAGGAAAATGGAAGAAAGCGAGTGAAAAAGGGAGGTTAGAAGGGGGGTGGGAGCGGTGCGCGACCACGTCTATGTACGCGTATACCTGGGACACCGATTGAAACGCGCAAGGGTGAACGGGAACTGAGTTGGTACAAAAGAGATCGAGAAAGAGAGAGGCTGATAGACCGATAGACGGATAGATACGAAGGGAGAGAGGGAGCGACGGAGAGAGAGAGAGAGAGAGAGAGAGAGAGAGAGAGAGAGAGAGAGAGAAAGAGAGAGAGAAAGAGAAAAAATAAAGGTTGGGGCAGGGGCCGAGAGAACGAGAACTTGAACAAGGTATAGAGAAAAGAAGCGGAGATGGAGGAGGAGGTGGAGGTGGAAGTGGTGGCTACCGTCGTTCGTGGATCGCGAAATCGAGCGGGCGGCGGTCCAGCGCTGACTGACTACGGACTGGCGTCGCGGCGGCAGGCCGCGTGGTGGGGGGACCCAGGAGTAGTAGTCCTCTTTCCCTCTCGACTCCTCCGCTCGTTCTCGTTTCCTCGCTTGTCCGCTTCTTCCTTGCTCCGCTCTGCCTCTACCGCGCTCTTTCTATCTTCTCGGCCCGTTCCTTCTTCCACTCGCGTTCGCGTACGCGTTCCCGACGCGTACCGAGAGCCGGTCACTTGGCGAAAACGAAGCGAATCGGTCCCCGAAAATCGCGGGTGGGGAGCGGACAGCGAACGCGACGGAATATGGGCGGGGGGAGAGGAGGTAGGGTGTCACCGGGCGAAACGGGAACAAGCGAGGTAGAGGCATGGACGAATTCGCGCGTCAGAGAACCGTTCTCCGCGACTGTCGGTTTTCTTCGAGTATTCGAGGGGGTTGGTAGCGAAGATAGCGGCGGCGCAATGCCAGCCACTCCACTGCCCGTTTCAACGCGATTGCATCGTGGTACGCGCGCACGCGTTACCCTTCATCGTCGCTCGCGCCGCTGCTAGATCTCGTAAAAAAGAATGAACCGCGAAGAGCAACGAGGCCGAAAAAGTGCGACGAAAGTTCGCCGATGGGCCCGAGGGACTGACATTGCTCTCGCGAGCGCAAGAGGTGGTCGAAAAAGGAGGCGGGGCCCCTAACCACATCGGCCCAGCTTCATCGAGCATGAAGGGGGAAGTCGCTCCGTTCGACTAACTCTACTTTCCGCCGCGTGGAGCGCTGCCGCACGGCGATATCGTTCCACCGTACTACGGCGTCACGGAGCTACATCTACGAGTTTCTCGACATTTTCACTCCTGCAAGGCCAACCAACGTCCCACGAGCTTGGGTAAGTCAACCATCGAACTTGTCTCTCATCGAGAAACGCGTGGCATCGTTGTGAACACGCCCGTGCACTCAACGGGCTCGATATCGAGCGAAATTAGAAGATAACCTCAAAATTCGTGTTTTCGTTGTTGCAACTTTTCTTACATTCTTTCGCACCGTTTACGGAAGCTTTCCTTCCAACGACTCCTTCTACAGTAACTATTGAATCGACGAACGATAGAAAGAGCCTAGGTACGGTAGATATCCTTTACGCAATGCGATCTTAACGTACGCGTTGTAATTCCTTTCTAAGCCGAACCCAGTAACGGTGCGCTCGCAGTACACGTCGTATCCGTGATTGCGATCGTATCTTTCCGAAGAATAGGTTCGCTCTCTCGATTTCTGTTCCGCTCTTGCTCTCTGAAATGAAGAAACTCTTGAATTCCTCAGAGGACGAGGTCGTAAGCGCCAAAAGGGATTCCCCGTCGTATCGATTCGAAACACACGATTATCTTCGCGAACAGACGTTCAGAGTAGTCTTTTACATCGTCTTCAATGACTCCGATTCGTAATTTAAAAGTACATCATGCTTCGAAAAGTCGAAGGTCCGAGCATCGACGACGAGGATCTGTCAGCGATTTCGAAAACATCCAAACCTCTAGCGGCAGATTTTTTGGTTCGTCTTCGTGGCCAGGGGGGGACAGACTGTTTTACGAGAATTCGGGCCGGAGATTCGAGTCGGAAAAGAATCGGATAGAGGTCGAAGGATACGAGTTTGCCAGTTCGGCGTAGGTAGTCGGTGAACGGAGCTCGTTTTGGCGGGCACCGGTGGCGGCGCTGGCAAGGCTGGTGGAGTCGAGGGGAAAAGAGCACTGGCGTACCAACTACCAGGTTGTGCCCGCCTACCAGGCGGAGCCCGCATGATCTATAGCGTCATAGAACACCCCTGCCGTCGTAGTAGGAACTCGGTGGCGACGCCCACGGTGTGGAACGTGCGCGCTGCCCCCGCCGTCGCTGCCTCCGTCACCACCGCCCGCCACTGTCGCCACCGCCGCCGCCGCCACCACCACTGCCGCCGCCGGGATGTTTATGCTTTTGCCGCTGTGTCTCTATCTAGTCGCGGCCCCGGCGCTGCGCTGTTCCTCTTCTGCCGTTGCTGCTACCGATGCTGCCACCGCCGCCGCCGCCGCCGCCGCTACCGTTGTCGGTCGCCGTTGTCGTTGGCGTTGGCATCGTGGTCGCCGTGGCTGTTCTACTCCTACCTCGTACTTATCCGGCTCCTTCCACCTTGCGTTCATTACCGCTAAACATTCCTGTCAATTAAAACTGCACCGACGCCCGATTTACTGCCAGCTCACTGTTCGTCCTTCGTGAGATCCCTCCCCCGGTGGATTTTGCAGCTCCGATATTAATGGCCTCGTGGAAACGTTTTGCTCTCTACTTTTTTCTCAAGTTTCACCGAACTCGCGGCTCAAGGTTCGATACGCTTTTAGATTAACACGTTTGACCGTCGCAAAACCTCCTACGATCGCTGTCTACGAAATATCTTGAACGTAAGACGCTCGAAACAATAGTCGGGCCTTTTTTTGGGTATTTTATCGATAGGCATGTTTCTTTTTATAGTCGAAGCTTCTTCTCGCTAAAAATGATGTATTTTTTTTATTTTGCAGTATTAAATAGATTCCAATCGCTCATAGAGAACGACACTTTATCGTTGTTACGCATCCGTGACGGCGGATTGAAACGAGAAGCAAATTGTTGCATAAATAATATGATAAGCTAAACGCGTGTCGCATAATTTAAATGATACGACGGTAGATGCGTGGCAACGGACGTGTTAAGTACGGGTTCATAAATTGTGCTTGTACTATTTGAGATATCTTGTGGGAGTACAATTTAAAAATTGTGATATCCGTTGCAAAATATATCTATTTAATCTTGATAATAATTACAATTTATAATTTAAAATTTTCTACGATCAACCTGGTCGGTAGCAATAGAGAAATTGAAGGCGTACGATTTAGATAACCGACACATCAGACACTGCAATTCTCTTGGTAATGAGTCAAGTGCTCCTCGTTTGAATTTCCCTTATTCCGTTTTCAAAAACATAAATATTTTTAATATCAATAAATATGTCTAAAAACCACATCGAGTGTATCCAAAAGATAGAAATTGTCGTGAGAGATATTATCATTGTTCAACGTGTTTTGGTTATTATATTACACTAGTTACATTATTTGCGAAGGTTTAATTCTATTTTTCGATCAGTTTTTGTTGACCTTTTTACGAATAAACGCCTAGTTCTCTGTTGCATACCGACTTTTATTTCTCTTCCACTATCTATTGCTCACCCCTATTTATCACGGTTATATGCGGGCTAGAAATAAGTCCGATTTCGCGAGATAACTCGTAGGCGGCATCAGGTGACAGGTTGTCAGCATCGAGTTAACACGTAGGCGGTAGTCAACGCGTAACAACGCCTGGCATTGGACCACATTCGATCTCGACTTAATCTCTTCGTTCGATTAACGTGTTACTATCGATCGTTACGAGCAAAAATCAGTATTTAGGTACTAGAAAATTGAAGATTTATTTGTAAAAAAAAATAGAGTATCAGGAAATCTCGTGACCTGCGTGACAACGAATGCGTTAAATTAGTTTGAATTTCGTTATTTCTTTGATCCATAATGGAAATCACAAATATAATAATTATCGTGTTGGGTTGCAATATGGTGCTGGCGATTATCGTTTCGACTCGAAACACGATTATCGTACAATAAATTATTTCGTTCGTGGATTCTATAAGGTCACATCGCGCGGCAAATCTGTCGAACAAAGTTCAAAGAAGCATCGATTAAAACGCATCTGTCCGTTTTCGTCGAAAAACAATGATCCGTTTCCGACGCGCCAGCGGATCGGCTTCAGCAACGTCTGCCATCAAATCGTTGAAATAAATGATTCAATTTGTAAAGACCAATGGATAGTAGTTGATTCGTTCAGACACGCCGATGATTCATCGGATTGGATAACTCACTGGACTGTAGGACATCGGTGAACAAACACGATGTAGTTTTTAAATCTAGTTGTACTTTATTTATCGTTTCAATTATTCCAACGTTTACGCTCTTCGCGAGCGGGACGAATGATAAATGTCGAAGAAAGATACGAATACATTACATTCTATATTTTACCACAGATTTCTCGCTCGAACGCAACAGGATCGGGACATCTTTTAAAGTCCTTTAGCTACCATTATTGTACAATAATATAACAATTTAAATCCTATAAGAAAAATTGCTCACTAGAAACGCAACTGTTCGTGTTTTGAAAATATTTTTGTGAAAACGATCGACTACTGGGTGGCGACCAGTTATCGACGAGACGATCTTTCATTTGCATATTTTTAATTCTCGGACACGACCGAAGACAGCCATTATTTTCGTTCGTCTTTCAATTTCGAGTCGACGAGGAACGTCTCCTTCGAAAGAAATTTCTACGGTACGCCGGGCCGTATCCTTGGCGATCGTCACGCCCGAGTTTTACGCCAATGGTGCTGGGGATTCGTAGCGGCGGAGGCGACTGTCATAAAGAGTATTTTATTTCGACGATTGCGGTGCCGTTTTTGTTCTGGGGTCGCGAAGTGATCGTGTCGTTTCTACGCGCGTCAGGCCAATTCAACGTCGGCGACATTCGCGGCCCGACGTTTACGAGATCGTTTATTAGGTGACGTTCCCATCGAGTGGTTTTGCCGGGAGCTGGATCTTCTCCCCTTTTCTAGAAACCACGTTAAAGATGATTCCAACTTATCGCGACGCGCCATCGAGAACGTTACATCGCGGAGGTTTCGACAGAATTTTGGCGTCGCGGTTGCGGATCAAAGAAAACGTTCCGTCACAAAGTGTGCCTATAAAATATTGCATTAATTAAGAACGCGAAAAACGAAAGTGGACCGACAACTTTACCGTACACGAATTAATTACACCGAAACTAATGGAATTCCTCGTCGGTTACGCTTTATTCTGATCGAGATAAACGATCGGATCGGTGATTTAAAAGAGATCATGGATTAAATAATCTCGGATTTCTCGCGACGGTTCCGATCGATTCGGCGCGTTCCCTATTTTTTGGCGATGCTGGCCGAACGGTTGTCGGAAAATAACTTTTTTCCACGAAGGAAGAGCCATCGGGGAGAGTTAAAAGAATCGAAAAACGGCGTTGCACGCGCGTGGTACGCGTCAGTTGCGTTTGTGTCTCTGGGTAACTGCGGGGGTTCCTTTTACGAGCGTTCCCGTCGTCGGCGGACGAGACCGGAGGCATTAAACTTGCGAATATTTCGAAAGACGTCCCGTTATGCAACGACAATGTGGGTCAGTGCACAAGTCCACTGTGTACGTTTGCTCGTTTTGTACCGTCAGCTCCCCGCGGAACCCGAAATAAGTGCAGCTCGTAAAATAAAGTACTGCACACCGCTTTTCCCGGCTATCTATTGCGGTGCCACCATCGATCTTACGTACGATTCCATGACGTTCAAAAATTTGCTTATACGTCCGCCAAAACGCACGTCTCCCCCTTTTCCGCGTAACGTTGTCGCAGTAACCATCGGTTCCTTTCTAAACATCGCCTTATGAAATTAGTTTTTTGCGTACGCTCCGGAACAGGATCTCTACGACTTGCACGTAACACTAGTGGCACTCTACAAATTAATTAACTACCATATTACGTGTCCCGATATTTCAGAATACATTAAGTTCTATGTTCTAATCGGAAACTTACATATTTCTCGTATTTTATATCGAACGTTTGTAAATTAATTCGCAAATTAGAATCCATTAGCGGTTATTTTAAATTGAAATTCAGGCGAGCGAAGTTACGAGGAAAGCCAGTTAACGAGTCAATCTAAAATTTGTATTCGTTAGTTATGAATAAATATTTGCCAGACCGGTTTCTGTATTAATGGTAACAAATTTTCTAACTACATCGATCCTTCCTACGACCCTTTCAGACCATCTGTCGTTAACA